GCCCGAAGAGTCCGCAGCCCCGAAGAGTCCGCAGCCCGAAGAGTCCACAACCCGAAGAGTCCACAGCCCCGAAGAGTCCACAGCCCCGAAGAGTCCAGCAGCCCGAAGAGTCCGCAACCCCGAAGAGTCCACAACCCGAAGAGTCCGCAGCCCCGAAGAGTCCGCAACAGCCCGAAGAGTCCTCAACCCCGAAGAGTCCACAGCCCGAAGAGTCCGCAGCCCCGAAGAGTCCGCAGCCGAGAGTCCGAGCCCCAGCCGAAGAGTCCACGGCCCCGAAGAGTCCACGGGAGTCCACCCCGAAGAGTCCACAGCCCGAAGAGTCCACAGCCCCCGAAGAGTCCACAGCCACAGCCGAAGAGTCCGCAAGCCCGAAGAGTCCACAGCCCGAAGAGTCCCACCCGAAGAGTCCCCCCGAAGATCCACCCCCGAAGAGTCCACGGCCCCGAAGAGTCCGGCCCCGAAGAGTCCACACCACCCCGAAGAGTCCACAACCCCGAGAGTCCACAACCCCGAAGAGTCCACACCCGCGCCCCGAAGAGTCCGCAGCCCGAAGAGTCCACAGAGAGCCCCCGAAGAGTCCACAACCCCGAAGAGTCACAACCCGGAGTCCACACCGAAGAGTCCACAACCCCGAAGAGTCCACAACCCGAAGAGTCCGCGCCCCGAAGAGTCCGCAGCCCCGAAGAGTCCGCAAGCCCGAGAGTCCACGGCCCCGAAGACCACAGCCCGAAGAGTCCACAGCCCCGAAGAGTCCCCCCGAAGAGTCCACGTCCCGAAGAGTCCCCGAAGAGTCCACAACCCCGAAGAGTCCACAGAAGAGTCCAAACCGACCGGAGACGCCAACTCAGACTGACTCACTGCCCTACATACGGGACTGAAGCAAAACCAGGACTATACCAGGTCTAAACCAGGTCTAAACTACGACTAAACCATGTCTAAATCACTGAGGACTGAAATTCGGCAGGACTAAAACCAGGACTATATCAGGTCTAAACCACTGAGGACTGAAACTCAGATGTACGGGACTGAAGCTCAGACTGAAACTTGGACTGAAACTTGGACTGAAACTTGGACATATGGGACTGAAACTCGGAAAACCGAGCTCTAAACTAAGCTCTTAAACTGAACTGTGGAACCTTTCTGGTGGAGCGTCTGTCAAGCGCTTTTCTCCAAGATACAATATGACATTAAACAGCTCTAAACAAGGTCTAAACTAGAATTAAACCAGGACTAAAACCAGGACTAAACCTGGTTTAAACCTGGTTTAACTAATAAACTAATAAATATGATTTGAGTATCAATTACTCAGTAAATTCATGACATTAATCGCGGTGGTGAGAACATTTTATGTAACACTGACAAATTTCAAACATGAATCTGATTTTACAGCAGGAAAATTTACTTTAAAAATGCAAGTACAAGTTGTTACAAGGATTTTTTTTCTAGTAAATATTACAAATTTTTTTTTTTCATTGTAGATTTACAGGTTTAATCTACAAAAACACTGGAACGATCTAGAAAACATCTCAGACAGAAGCTCCACTAGAAAGGTTCCACAGTGCAGCTTTAAGTCTTGTACCTCACTTAATTTCAGAAACTAAACAGTGAAATATCAAACTTTTTAAGGCCGTCCTGGGGATCTGTGTATATGTGTGCAGGGCTTTTACTTTCACATCTGAAATGGTTTTGAAATAAAAATCAACTCAGAGTGAAAGTGAGACTCTATAAAAATGGAAAAAAAGGAGATGACACTTTTATTTGTTTTGTTTCTGTGTTTGCTGCAGGGGGAAAACGTCCCGATCTCCACGGAGACGAGCAGATGCACCAGGAAATCTCCCGGGCAATAAAACACCTCGAGACTGGTGTTTTTCACAATCCAAAATGTGATGATGTCATGTTTCCAGATGCGGATCAAACGCCCGAGATTCCGGCGGATTAACCCCAACACATGTGCGAATCAAACAGCTATTGTTCTTATTGTTCTTCGCCTCATTTACGCCTCCTTCACACTCTCAGCACTGAGGGTTTAAGTGTTTTTCTGACGACTTTTATCCGTTCAAAGATGTTTTTAACTGGAAAAAATGCAGTTAAATAAAAGTAATTACGTAGTTAGTTTCAAACATGTCAGCATTTTCTTCTTTTAAAAACAAAAAGAAACTCAAAACACAAAATTGTAAATGTTTAAACTAGGGCCTAATCGATATATCGGTTGGTCGATATTATCGGCTGATACATGCACTTGGAGACATATCGACCTAAATCTTGTCGATCTGGGCCGATATTCGACGTGAGCAGGTTTTAAGTCGTCATAAAACTCAGACTCTACATCAGGAGAATCAAACTCACAGAGGACAAAAGTACAAACTGGGACTAAGTCTTGGGCCAAACTAAATATTTATTGAAAAATTTCACCAACATCTGCATGTTAAACCTTTTCTTATTCAAATAAATGTTCAGTAAAAGTTTTGCTTAAACACTGAATCCAGAACAAACAGAATATAAAATAATAACAACATTTTAATTAAATCATGTCTCTGTAGTCGATCTGTGTGCGGCTTCAGCTCTGACACGTTTGACTTGATCTCATGGGCCAAATATAATTCTATCGTGGACCAAATTTGGCCCCCGGGCCTGAGTTTGACATGTCTGATCTACATCATGTCCATTTAATCCAATTTACAGACAGATTAATGTCCTAATATTTGTTGACGCATCAGGATTTATCCACAGAGTCATTTGTGTGTGTGACGTCGTACTGACCCTGACACACCACAGAGTCACGACTCACATGAGCCTGTTCACACTCGAGCAGGAGCCACAGAGCCACAGAGCCACAGAGTCACAGAGCCACAGAGCCACAGAGCCACAGAGCCAGAGCCACAGAGTCACAGAGCACAGAGCACAGAGTCCACAGAGCCACAGAGCCACAGAGTCACAGAGCCACAGAGTCACAGAGCCACAGAGTCACAGAGCCACAGAGCCACAGAGTCACAGAGCCACAGAGCCACAGAGCCACAGAGCCACAGATCCACGTGCAAAACTCTGAGACGCTGATTTAAACGCTCGTGTCTGATCCACGACACTGACGATAAATAAAAAGTGAACTTCAATAAAGTTCAGGACAGAAACAAAACTACTGCTGTTTTTATTAAAGTGCGAGTGTGAAGAAAAGACGACACACACACACAAACACACACACAAACACACACATACACATACACACACACAAACACACACACACACACACACAGCTGCTGTCCACATGCTGGTTTATTTTCTTTTTACAGCTGATTGTTTTGAGTCAGGATTAAAAAGACACTTGTGAGTTCAGACTTGTGATCTGAGAGGAGCCGGCGTGAGGCTGAGTGATGTAAATGTAAATTCTTTCTCGTTGTTTAGCTGCTGCAGCTCCACATAAACACTCTGTTTTCGTGACTCTACTGACTCCAGCGTGTGCACATGTGACTGGAGCTGCATTGATGTAAATGAGCTGTGAACAGATGTGTGAATGATCCACATTTACACATAATTAATTACCACAGTGCACAGCATTTTTACTTACTTTGTTTACCAGCGACAATGTGATGCAAAAATGCCATTAATCTGACCTACTATCTTTAAATATGACGTAAAGACGCAGAATAACAATAAATGACACCAGATCTAAGTTTTTTATCATTAAAAATATTTTTAAATCGACTATCAGCTCCTCCAACTCCTGTTTTATCTGTGTCATATCAGCAGCAAATAAATCCATATCAGTCAGGCCCGAGTTTAAACCAATAAAAAAATATATTCACATAAAATAATAATAATAATAATAATAAAAACTGAGATATCTATTGATTACATTGTACTTTACTATTAAATATACTAAATTTAACTATTTAACTACTAAAAAAAAAAAAAAAAAAAAAAGTTATTGTTAGTATTGTTACGTACATGTGAAAAGACGAGTGTCATTGTCTGTGCTTGTATGAAGTGTGCGTCATGTCCTTAATTAGCCCATTTGACCTCGTTTTTATGTTCTGAAGGTTCAGGTTGTGTCGGGTTATTGATGCCTAAGGTTTACGAGGCACATTTTATATGCAGTTTATTTTATTATTTCAAATTTATTTCAGCTGTTTGCCAACACATAAGTGGCTATAGGGACATATTTATTTAGTTATGCTTTTTTTTTTGTTTCGAAATCAGATATATTTTAAAACACGCAGACATTATAGCGTAAACTGCCACTCGGGGGATTTAAAACTTAAAGAAAGACCGATGGAGTGAGGCTATGACTTTGAAACAACATCGGGCGATGCAGAATGTTCAGAATGTAACAACAGCCAACACGAAGGCAAGAAGGTTCAAAAACAGCCTAGTCGGAAAACGTTGTCAATTAATTAGCTGCGCAAGAAAACCAGGTAAGTTTGGGGTTGTTACGGACAATTAAGAATGTGAACAAACACGTTGAGCGAATTTTGGAATGAATGAGCTGTAGAGTTTGAATTTTTATCGAGGCTCCTTAGTTTTTTTGCTGTATGATTGTTCTAAAATCTAAAATCAATCGGCGGATGGCGGGCGGGTGCGGTTTTGAAAACCTTCGGTGCAAATGGACAGCGGGCGGATGATGAGTTTTGTGTCGTGGTTGCGGATGAAAAAATAGCCCATCCGCGCATCTCTAATCCCAACACAAATCTGCTTTTTAACAATATTTATTTTATTTATTTTAGCTGCTCCTCCGTCCAAGAGGAAGTGTTACGCAAAATCAACTTTTTTTTTTGAGATTTCTACCAGGTTCTAACGTCGTTCCGTCATCAACAATCGTTCGTCAAAATAAAAATAAGTTGGCGTCTCTGTCCAATCAGAACCTTCCTCACCTCCAGACACATTAAATAAAAATGATTTAAAGTGTAAACCTCAATTCAGAATGTTTATTTCCATGTGAACTCGAAAGGGAAGATTTCAATTCAGGACAAAAACTTCCTGTGAAACGTGGCGAGTGTGCGTCTCACCTGCAGGTTCCTCATGTCTCTGAACACTCCGGGGGGATCTTCTGCAGGTGGTTGCTGTGGAGCATGAGCAGCTCCAGGTTCTTCAGACCCGACAGAGACTCGTTCTGGAGGAGCTGGATGCTGTTGAACCTGGCAAGGCAAAGACAGAACATCTCATTGGAGACAAGTCCACCACAAATGTCACGTAAAACTCAAGTGATGGAAATTGATATTGTGCAAAGATTTCTGTCGGTGTGTCTTTGTGTAAATGTGTTTTGTACCTGAGACCAGAGCTTCATGAACATGTGTAAAGACTCAGCAGACACAACTGTCCCACCCTCACGAAACTCTGTGTTGTTTAAGGTCCCGTTCACACTAGTGTGTATGTGAGTGGTTTTGGTTGTGGGTGCAGTGTTCGTTCACATTAATCCGGTGGAAAACGGCTCCAGAGACGGAACGATCTGGTGGACGCCTGAAAACACTGATACTCTGATGTAGGAGCTCTAGAATCTGTGTCGTTCGTTCATTCATTTTTCAAAATAAAACAAAAAATAAGAAAATGAAAAAAAAAACAACTATTTTCTTCATTATTTGTCTCAAAATTAAAATGAAAAAACAGATAATGATTCGTTTTTTAAATTTTCAATTTTGTGTTTAAATGGAAAAATGGAAAAAATTGATAACAGCCGTTTCCCGACTTAAACTGAGATGCCGGACTGAACCAGAACTGAACCAGGACTGAACTTAGGACTAAAACAAGACTAAAACTGGACGCAAATCGTTTCTGACACGATGATACGGTGACTCATTTCAGCATAAACGTGACCTTAGTCTGTCTTTGTGTAAATGTGAACTGTACCTAAGAACAGAACTTCATTAACTTCATAAAGCTCAACAGACACAACTACCCCAGCCTCAGAAAGTCCCTGGGTTGTTTTAACTGTCCTCAAATGTCCTCATAGGTCCTCAAAAGTCCTCATATGTCCTCAGATGTCTTCAAATGTCCTCAAATGTTCTAAAATGTCCTTAGATGTCCTTAGAAAGATGTCCTCATATGTCTCAAATGTCCTCAATTGTCTTCAGATGTCCTCAGATGCCCCCAAATGTCCTCACATGTCCTCAAATGCCCTCAAATATCCTCAAAAGTAATCAAATGCCCTCAAATGTCCTCAAATGTCTTCAAATGTCCTACAACGTCCACAGATGTCCTCAAATGTCCCCAAATGTCCTCACATGTCCTCAAATGCCCTCAAATATCCTCGGGTGTCCTCAAATGTCCTCAAACGTCCTCAGATGTCCTCAAATGTCCTCAAATGTCCTCAAATGTCCTCAAATGTCCTCAAATGTCCTCAAATGTCTCAAAATATCCTTAAATGTCCTCAAATAGCTTCAAATGTCCTCATATGTCCTAAAACGTCCTCAAATATCCTCAAATGCCTTCAAATGTCCCCATATGTCCTCAAAAGTCCTCAAATGTCCTCATATGTTCTAAAACGCCCTAAAATGTCCTCAAATGTCCTGATGTCCTCAGATGTCCTCAGATGTCCTCAAATGTCCTCAGATGTCCTCAGATGTCCTCAGATGTCCCAGATGTCCCCAGATGTGAGTTATTGATTAGCACGTCTGTGAAAAGTCCGTGTGTTTTGAAATATAAATTGTCTTTGAGTTGAAATCCTCGGAGCAGTGACCTGGGCTGATCTGCTGGAACGAGGATCAGAAATAAACCTTTGTCTTTGTTCCAAAAATTCATCAGATTTCGCAAATGGATTAATAATTTTTTTCTTCAAAATCTATATAATTTTTTTTCCACAACACTCTGATTAAATAATAAACTCCACTCCCGCGTCCGAACTCCAGGACTTTTCCCTCGTGGATCAATAAAGTCGAAGTTTTTGCCTCGTCCGTGAAAACAAGTGAATGTTTGAAGAAAAGCAGATTAGATCCACATGACACGAGAACATCAACACAAGAGGTGTGAAAATACACACAAAATAAAACACACAAATATCGACGTGTCGTATCGTCTAATGTGACGATACAGGATCGATATCGTGAGCCGCTGTATCGATATATCGTGTGTATGTGTGTGTTTG